CGTTATAGCGTTTGTTTTAGCACAAATGTTGAAATCAAGTGTATCGTGAAGTTATATTCAGAAAGAATAAACCAGTTTTATTAAGTAAGGACTTGTGTCACTAAAGTTTCGTCGGAACGAAGTTACGGAAAGTTAATTAACAAACGGGGACGTAACAATATCATGTCATTCCCAGAGGAAGTCCTAACTGTATATGCTGAGTTTGGTGACAGTCGGTCCAGCAGTTTGCCAGTTATAAGCAGAAACATGTACATACTTTTGTCAAATAATGGTTTAAAGTGAAGTTGCAGAAGTGTTTTTGAAAAGGAATCTATGCATGTGTAATAGTGGTGTACACATAAATTTCAATTATGCAATGAGTAGCAGTATTCAGTTTACTTTTATAAGTTGCATGAATATTTATTTCAATATAACTTGTTTTTATTGATTTCTCAATTTATCTACGAAAGATACAACACGAATGGAAACAAACCTATGATGTACATGAATAAGGTTATCATACTCAAGTTATTTATGTTTAATGTTATGTTGTGAAGAACAGTTGTCCTTTTAATCCAGTGAATATAAAAAAATTAATAGCATTAATTTTTTAGTCGTATTTGTAATACAATACAAGACTGGCACTTTCTGTAGGTTAGTATACTGAAAGAATTATTGCCACTATACCAAAATATTATTTATATAATGTATCTTACCAGAAAAGGTTAACTTGCACTGAGGTGACTAGATACGCTTCAGATGACTGTAGCTGTTTGCTTATACAATCATAATAATTCTAGTCTGTACAATACAATGCTTAACCTGAAGGATTCACATGACAGTGTGTATACCTTATCAGGCAGGCAATAGCACTACCTATGTAAGGACGGTTTGGATTGTTCATCAAAATGGTATTTTAAATATCCCCTCAATAGGTCATCAGAACTTTACAATACTATACAGCGTTTCCTTTTATAATAATATCTATGTAATGACTGAGTCATAAGTTCTGGGAATATCTGTAAATATCATAGCAAAAAGTTTGAATTTATTGTTCTGCTTCTTTTTTATTACAGGATAACTAAAAAATAATGGTGTCAACCAATTTCACTGACATGAAATTTTTTAAAATGGAATATCACCTTTTATAAGTATTATAAATTAGTTGTAATTTCACAAAAAAAAAACAAAATTTTAGTGTAAATGATGTTATCATTACAGAAATTTGGTGTTCCTTTAAAAAGCAGGGTGAAACAAGAATTAATAATAGGTAAACAATATATATTACAGTTGAAGCCTCACTGTATTTAGAACTTGGTTATAAACACAACCTTCCTATGTCTATTGAAACACTCCATTAAAAAAACAAGTAAAAAAACACTGGCAAGAATTAACATATAGCAATATTAAATAAATATTCTCCATTCTTATCCATGATGCTTTTCCATTTTACAGTCAGGTTGTTAATGCCCTATTAAAAAAATCACTTTGCTTTGGAGCAAAAAACATGTCAATGTCCTCTTTAATACCTTCCACACTTGCATACATTTCCCCTTTAAGATGGTGTTGC